ATAGTGTATAATGGTGCATAGAGGACAGCAATGAGGCATTGCTCTCTCAGCTGATTATAGACTATAACACCTTGAGTTGTATATTGAGTGAAATCTGGGATTTATCAGGGAGTCAAGCAGGGGTAGGACAGACATTTGAAGAGGTAGGAGTGGTGGGAGTTGCACACAGACAGAAGCATGAGACTGTGGCACTTTTAACAATACAGCGTGGCAACTAGGTTTAAGCTGCACAGTAGAGGTAATCCAGCAGAAGCAAGCAAACTTCCTTTCCCCTGCTGGGATTGAACCTTGGGCCTAGCACATGTTAAACAAGCACTCTACTGCTGAGCTGCCCTCTTTTTACTTGTTTAATTTTGAGACAACTCTCATTAAGTTGTCCAACTGGCCTTGAACTTGGCAGTCCTACTGCCTCAGCCTCCTAAGTAGTGGGGACTACAGGCCTGTACCATCTGGCCAGGCTGCAGGTTAATTTTTAGTCATAGACATATATTAGGTATGGAAGAACACTAGCCTTCATCCTGTAGGGGCTAGGAAGGTACCAAAAGCTTTCTTTTTTAATTTTAACTTTTTTTTTTCTTTTTTTGAGGCAGGATCTCCCTGTAGCCCCAGCTGGCCTAGAACTCACTATTTAGATATGTAGACCAGGCTGGCCTTGAAGTCACAGAGGTTGGCCTGCCTCTGCCTGAGTGCTGGGATTAAAGGTGTGCACCATCACGCCCAGCCTTTTTTTTTAATGTTTTTTATGTGTATGTGTGTTTGCCTGCATGAACTTAAGTACACCTGTACATGCAATGCCTGAAGAGGCCAGAAGAGGGCGTCATATCCAATGGGAACTGAATCCGGGTCCCTCTGCAAAAAGCCACTGCTTTTTTTTGTCTTGAGACAGGGTCTCCCTGTAGCCCCAGCTGACCTGGAACTCACTATGTAAGACCAGGCTGGCTCTCAATCCCACCTATCTCTGGGATTAAAGGCATGAGCCACCATGCCTAGCACAGCCATGCTCTTAATCACTGAGCTATCTCTCCAGCCCCCCCAGCAAAAGCTTTCTGATTGAAATGGAGTGTTTCATGAACCCAAATGGGAAGAGTTTTAGAGAGTTTTAGAAAGATTTATCTGACTAATTTGGAGGATGGATTATTCCTGACAAATGTTAATGAGCCTGAAATAAGGTGACAGCTCTGACATTGTAGAGAAACAGTGGGCTTCCAGGAGTCAAGGACCTGACTTTGGGGCAGAAAAAAAGAGAGGACTCTGCAATAAAACAGCAGGCCTCCATATTGGAGGCTAACAGTAGGTCCCAGTGGTGCTGCTGTTAATAATGAGCATAGCAAAGAAGCTAGAAGCCAGATATTAGAGCAGGCTGTTGGGTGGGTCATATTTTCAGGACATGTAGGTAGATGAAGGCACAGTGAAAACAATCTAGATCAGTCTAGATTAGACAAACTTGGGAAATACCTTAGGGGTGTGCCCTGCCTCTTTCCTCACCCTGTTTTTTGTGTTTTGTTTTTTGGTCTTCTGGTTCAGTGCCAGCGCCCTTCCTGGGAACTCCTGTCTCCCTGATGTTCATACTTCTGAAACCACACCCAGTACAGGAGCAGCTCTCCCTGCGTGACATCCTTGGTTGGATTGAGGGCATCATGGTGTGGCCATGGCATCTGAAAGTTCACTGCCTTTCTCCCTTGTCCTGTTTTTGAGATTGTAGCCCAGACTGACCTCCCAAGTTCTGGCATTTACAGGCATGTGCCACCATGTTTCAACCATCCTCCTGTCAAAGATTGTATCTCTAGATACCTCCAAATTCAGATAATAAGTTTGAATAAAACCAAGTGCTGTGACACCTTCTAAAGTTATCTTTTCCATTTCAGATATGGAGGTACCACCTGGTTCTCAGAGTAGCAGAGCTTTTCATTTTCAACCACCATTGCCTCCTGGCACACCTCCTCCACTGCCACAGGGAGCACCTCCATTCACTCCTCCACTCCCTAAGGGCACCCCACCACTGACTCCCAGTGATTCACCCCAGACCCGACCCACGGCCACAGCCATGGATGAGGATGCTTTGACACTGGAAGAACTTGAAGAGCAGCAGAGGCGGATCTGGGCTGCTCTCCAGCAGGCCGAGAGCGGCAACAGTGATTCCGACATTCCTGTGGACACGCCTGTGACTGGGAATTCAGTTGCCTCCTCGCCTTGTCCAAATGAGCTTGAGTTCCCTGTCCCAGAGGGAAGAGCATCCGAAAAGCCAGTGCTGGATGAGCCTGAGGTCATAGACATTTCTGCAGAGACAACTGAGCCTGAACATCCCTCTAGTCCAGCAGCTGAAGCTGTACTCCCATGTCAGAAGTTAGAGGAAGAACCTGCAGGGGCGGACCCTGAACCTCTTCTTAATAACGGCAATGCTATGTCAAACTGTGACGTTAGGAATGGAGGCAGTCAGAAGCTTCCTGTGGACACCCATCCTACAACGGCCACTAAAATCCACAGCCCTGTACCTGACATGAGCAAGTTTGCAACTGGAATAACACCATTCGAATTTGAAAATATGGCAGAGTCTACTGGAATGTATCTGAGGATCAGAAACTTGTTAAAGAACTCACCCCGAAATCAGCAGAAAAATAAAAAGGTCTCTGAGTAACTTCTGACATAGCACTGAGCTGTTAATAATCCCTGACTTGTCTTCTGTGATTAGTACTTAGAGGAAGACAAAATGGTTTTCTTATTGGTCCTTCCCTCATTGAAAAAGCTACCTGAGGTTAACTGTGATCTCAACTCAAGCTTGTTTTAAAAAATGAAAAGACTGGGCCCACTGCTTTGCTGTATTTTATTCTCTGACAACCTGCGGGGCATACATGAGTTGCTTTAGAGATAGTTTAAGGTTTATACTATTTTTGGATTGTAAGTGTCCATCCGGAGTGAAGTTTTTTATGTCTTTTGTACATTGTCTTCCCTTTCTACATTTTGCTATTATCCTGTATATATAAGTTTAATATATCAGTTTTAAAAGAAAATTCTAGCCATTTTAAATTCACATTTCAATTCCAGCAACCAAATGAGAAAATCAGGGCTAAGCAGCTTTATCCTATTTGGGATATTTTTGTAAGATTTACATGCATGAATTTTAATAACACTTTTACTTTTTGTAACTTCATTCTTCAAATATACTAAGTATGTTCACCTTTGTGCACAAAGGCTTAATAAATTAGTTTTCTTATACATAATCAAAGACTTTGAATACAAAGAAGTGATTCACAGTTAAATTTTTACCTTCTACATATGGAGGAAAATCATGATTGCAAAAAATTAGCAGAGGAAACAAAAAATTACAAATTTGGCTGCTGTTGGTGGATTTCAGCCTTAACTATGATAATGTAGAAACAGACTCATTGTTTTGAAAAAATGGAGATCAACTAGCCTTTGTACAAAAATCATCTGGATTTGAACTCTAAAATGCTGGTTAAAATAGATAAGAATTAGTTCAGTGGTCAGCTCTGTAAGATAGCTGTGTCTGCAGTTTTCTCTGGAATACTAGTCATCTTTACACTTGCTAAAATCTGTGAAAATGACACTTGGGGATCTTGAATTACTGGTCTCAGGTAGTGTTACTCTGCGCCCACACTGACAGAGGGAGCAAAATTGAGCCATTCTGGATTTAGTTTACATTTTTGAGAACTTGAGAAATCAAATTTATTGACTTGTAAACAAAGGGAAAGGGAATTACATGAAAGGGGGAATGTGGACATGCTAGAATAAAGTATTAAGAACTTTGAACTTTTTTAAATTTATTTTTTTGGTATTTACTATTTTTATTTTATGTGTATGAGTATATTGTCCACATGCATGTGAGTGCACCTGTGTCGTGCAGTGCCGAGGAGGTCAGAAGAGGGCTTCAGATTCCCCTGGAACTGGAGTTAAGGAGGGTTCATAGCTGCCATGTGGGTGCTGGGAATCGAACCCAGGTCCTCTGCAAGAGCAGTCAGTGCTCTTAACCACTGAGCAATCTCTCCAGCCCCAATTTATTTTATTTTATTATGCGTGTATTACCTGCATGTAGGTAGGTACACCCATGTCATGCAATGCCTGAGGAGGTCAGAAGGGGGCATCAGATCCACTGGAACTGGAGTTAGCCACCATGTGGATGCTGGGAATCAAACCCCGGTCCTCTGCAAGAACAACCAATACTCAACCACTGAGCCATCTCTCAAGCCCCAGAGTTTGGGGAGGAGGGTTGTTTTTTTGGGTTTTTTTCTGAGTTTAAGAGCCTGAAAAAGGTTCACAGTAAGTCCTAGCACTTGAGAAACAGAGGCAGGAGATCTCTATGAGATCAAGGCCAGCCTGGTCTATATGCAGGTTCTAGGTCAGCTGGGGCTACAGGGAGACCCTGTCTCCAAACACAAAAAAATAAGAGGTTCACTGTGATTTACATAGAGCTTTAAAGACTTGTTCTTACTATTTTTAATTACTTGTATATGGAGGGTTAGGTATGTGAGTGTAGTACCAGAGGAAATGGAACCCCTGAGCTGGAGTTAGAGGAAGTTGTGAACCATCTCCTGTGGGTGCTGGGATCTGAACTCTGGTCCTCTGGAAGAACAGTACACTGAACTGCTGTGCCATCTCTCCAGCCTCTTAACAGTGTTTTTGTCTTAGCATTCTTCATGTTTCTAGCAGAGAGATGACTAAAGGAAATAAGGCTAGAGAGGCAGAGAAAAGGTAAATGGTCTTATCAGCATTTTTAACATTTATTACTTATTCGGAGGAGGGGACACATTCCACCACAAATGTGGAGGTCAGAGGACAACGTGAGGGAATTGTTCTCTTTACACCATGTGGGTTCCAGGGATCATCAGACTTGGTCTCACTAACCTGAGTGTGACTCTGAACTTAAAATCCTAGTGCTGAATTACAGGCATGCACCACCATGCCCAGGTGGTGCTAGGGATCAAGCCCAGTTTTGGGTATGCTCAGTTGGTGTGTTCTACCAACTGAGCTGCCTCCTTAGCCCAGTGACCTGTGTTTTGAATGTCCAATCTTCTACTTAAGATATAGCTGGTTTCTAAATTAGAATTGTTTAGCCAGGTGCAGCATGCACCTCTATTCATTGCCCTTGGGAGGTAGGCTGGAGGATCAGGATTTGAAGACCAGCATTGGTAACATAGCAAGCTCAAAGTCAGCCTAAGCTGTATGAAACCCTGCCTCAAAAAAATTAAAGGCTGGGTGCATACCTTTAATCTCTGCAGAGGCAGATGATTCTGAGTTTAAGGCCAACCTGGCCTACACAGTGACACCCTGCCTCAAAAAAAAAAGTGTGCATTGGTTGAGGTCAGACCACTCACCTCCATACCCAGGCACTTAGCCCCTGCTTCCCTGTCAGCTGCTCCACAAGCACTGATCTCTCAGATACCTGACTCCTATTTCATTCTTTCTATTACTTAGGGCTGGAATTGAGCTGTGTGGTAGAGGGCTTGCCTGTCATGTATGACTTGATCCTGGGTTTAATCCCCAGTACCAGGAAAACAAACCCTTGACAACACAAGTTAGGTGTTCTGTGTGAAATCCTGAGCTGCATGTTCTGGTTCTTGTAATCCCAACACTCAGACTAAGGCAAGAAGAAAGCAACTTCTTGGCCAGTCTGTGCTGCATACCTAGACCCTGTCCCAGTAGTGACAGATCATCCTTTAAGAAGCCTACACTTAATGAGAGAAGACAGTTCTACTACAGTTTAGTATTGGCGTAGGCAGGAGGATCCCACAGACCAAATGCACAATGAAATGTACAAGAAGGGCTGGTGAGATGGCTCAGTAGATAAAGGCACTTAACTACCAAACTTGACAACTTGAGTTCAATCCCTGGGACCCACATTATAGGAGAGAACAGCAAATTGTGCTCTGACCTCCACATACACACTATGGTACACACAATAAATGTAACACTGAAAACTTTAATTTGGTGGACATGGTGCCACATACCTTTGATCCCAGAACTCAGGAAGCAAAAGCAGGCAGAGGTCATTTGAGGTCATCCTATAGCAAGTTCCAGACCATTCATGGATACTTAGAAATCTGGGTTGCTTTGCTATGAGTTTTGAATTTATTAGAAGAATCTGTAGGATTCATCAATGGTGAGTGACTTTACCTGAGTTCTGTTTTAAGTTTTTAAAAATTTATTTTATGGGGCTGGAGAGATAGCTCAGTGGTTAAGAACACTGACTGTTCTTGCAGTCTTCTGCAAGGTTCGAATCCCAGCATCCACATGGCAGCTAACAACTGTCCATAATTCCAGTTCCAGAGGATCTGACAGTCTCTTCTGTCCTCCGTGGGCATTGCATGACACGGGTGCACTTACCCACATGCAGGCAATACATGTATACACATAAAATAGAAATAACATTTTTTTAAAAATTTATTTTACACCGGGCATGATGGCGCACACCTTTAATCCCAGCACTTGGGAGGCAGAGGCAGGTGGATCTCTGTGAGTTCAAGGCCAGCCTGGTCTACATAGTGAGTTCCAGGACAGCTGGGACTACAGGGAGACCTATCTCAAAAATACCAAAAAAAAAAAAAATTTATTCTACATGTATGAGTGTTTTGCCTACATGTATATAAGTGCACCTGTGTTATGCAATGCCCTGGGAGGCCAGAAGAGAACTTCAGATCCCCCAGAACTGGAGTTGTTAGCAGCCAAGTAGTTTCTGGGAACCAAACCCAGGTCCTCTGCAAAAACAGCCAGTTTTCTTAACCACTGAGCCATCACTCCAGCACTTTGGGTTTTTGTTTTTTGTTTTTTTTTGTCTTTTTAAGACAGGGTCTCCCTGTAGCTCCAGCTGTCCTGGAACTCACTATGTAGACCAGGCTGGCCTTGAACTCACAGAGATCCGCCTGCCTCTGCCTCCCAAGTGTTGGGATTAAAGGCGTGAGCCACCACGCCTGGCTGTTTTTGTTTTTTTGAGACAGGCCTTCACTTTGTCTCCCAGGCTGGCCTGCCATTGCTATTAGCTGGCCTCAAAATTGAAGCAATCCTCCTGTCTCAGCATTTCAAGAACTGGGATTACAGGCATATGACACCATACCTGGTTCCAAGCAAAAATTTTTATAATATTTTATTAATTTTTTGTTTTCTGTGTATGAGTGTATTTCCAGCATGTGAGTAAGTGCACCCGTGTTGTGCAGTGCCCACAGAGGTCAGAATCGGGCGACAGATCCCCTGGAACTGGAGTTACAGACAGTTGTTAGCTGCCTTGTGGGTGGTGGGAATTGAACCTGGATCCTCTGCAGGGGCAGTCAGTGCTCTTAACAGCTGAGCCATCTCTCCAGTACACCAAGCAAAAATTTTTAGGTTACATTTATGCATTTATTGTATGGAGGTGGAGGGAAAGTCATGCTCCACAGTGCAGGTCAGAGGACAACTTGTGGGAGTCAGTTCTCTCCGGCCATGTGGGTCCCAGGAGTGAAACTCAGGTCATTGCCTTGGTGGCAAGCTCCTCTACCCACTGAGTCATCTTGTCAGTCCTGCAAGCAGTTTCTTCAAGAAGATAAATTCCAAAGCAGAATTGGGAATCAAAGGAATGGAGGAGACATGTTACAGATGGGAATTCATACATGGGAGTGTAAGCATGGGGTGAAGTTACTTTGAGGCACTGCCCCATTTCTAAATGTACTGACACATTTGAGCGTTTGGAAGAGACTGCTGGGTGGAGTAACATGGTATTGTTTGGGCTTGTCAGTGCTGTGACAGGTCTCCAGCTGTGGCGAGGTGAGGTAATAACCAAACACTTGTACTTCAAGATAGACATGGAACAGGGGTGGGGATCTGTTTGTCATTTTTGCCTTGGGTTAAAAGGAATGTGAAGTGTAGCACTGGTTGCTAAAATAAGGCCAGTTCTTCCTTTGTCATCTTAAACTGGTAAGTGGAAAAAAGGCACTGCCCTCACTAAAATGCAGAGACCAGTGTCTCCTCAACTGTCAAAAGTACCAACTACGTTTCAATAATCACAGGTCTCTTCCTAGGTGATAAAATTTTTCCAAGTTCTCGACTGGGATTATTTGGCCCTTTTTCTGTGTGGTGTTTTTTTTTGGGGGGGGGTGTTTTGTTTTGTTTTGTTTTGTTTTTGAGACAGGGTCTCTGTAGCCCCAGCTGACCTGGAGCTTGCTATGTAGACCAGGCTGGCCTCAAACTCACTGGAGTCTGCCTGCCTCTGCCTCCTGAGTGTTAGGACTAAAAGGCTTGTGCCACCACACCCCTCTTTCTGTTTCGTTTTTTTTTTTTTTTTTATTGTTTTTACATTTATTTTATTATGTGCTTGTGTGTGGAAGTCAGAGGACAGCTTGTGAGAGTTGGTGCTCTCTTTCTACCATGTGGGGCCCAGCAATGGAATGCAGGTGGT